AAGAATCTTTACACTCTGAGCCATCTCCATGGTCCCTTGGAGACCATTGGGTTTGAACATTTCCTTTGGAAAGTTCCTTCATTCCTGGACTTGGTACATGGAAGAACTGTGCACCATGACATTAGAAAAGGGGTTTCCTGATAGATAGATAGATAGATAGATAGATAGATAGATAGATAGATAGATAGATAGATGCCAGCATTGCCTTAGGTGACTCTAGAGAACCAAGCCTTTTTGCCCATGTCCCACCTGTGGCAGTGTCAGCCAGCTACCACCTGTGAGAGGACAAATCTTTTAAATTCAGACTCCATTTTAGAGAACTTGATCTCAGGCAAACTAACAGATGGGTACCCACCATTAGTTTCCAAGTTAACTTCTAACAAAACCTGAGCCAGGCACCAGTCTCTAGGCTAACCCCCAACAAGAACAGCATTACCTGGTTATCACTCCAACAAGACTTGTGTCTTCAGGTTATTCCCCCAACAAACCAGCACCCCCAGGTTACAAGCCAATCCCCTGACTAATGGTCACCAAGGCAGAGTAGCATGGCTACAGGGAGTGCCCAGGGCAGATTCAAGACTGCATCATTAGTAGCTACAACAAATGGATGGGAGGAAATGTAGTGTGACTTATCTTGTGCACCCGGCACACTGAAGGATCCCCACTGGGGTGTCTGATCTTTATCCCTGGAGACACAGAATCCTGGGAACAGGACAAGGCTCAGGGTCTCAGGTATAGGATGTGATCTATCTGTTCATCTCTCACCCCTGTGTCCTTGTGATCACAGACTCTCAGCCTGTGCTTCATAGTGATGGAGAGAGCAGAGCCCAGAGGTGACACAGCCCAGGAGTGACCCCATCAAAGATCACAATGGACTGAGCACACCTGGGCACAGCCTCATCCTGTCCCAAGAGATACACACAGCATAGTGACACAGATTCTGGAAGGTTCTCCATCTGCCATTTATTTCTTCAAAAAAAAAAATCTGAGTATTCTCAAGCCAAGAAATTAACAAGCAATCAACCCTCAGGTCAAGATGTTAACAATCAAGTTCACATTCAGATTCTTATTCTCAGTGTGGAAGTGAGGAGCTGCAGCTCAGGGCAGCATGGAGCTGACAGGATGCAGATGTCCCCCAGTGTTTGGCTGGATCAGGAAGGTTGGCAGTGGAAGGGAACACAGGCAGTGCAGGGACAGGGTCCTGGTGGGCAGAACAGGCTGGACTCCACAGTTCTTCACATTGAGCCCATAGGATCACAGGGAACATCAGACACTGTTGTCTAAAGAGAACTGAGGGCTCTGGATGTCACAGGAGAGACCTGAACAAACTGTCTGTCACTCAGTCCACTCCAGGCTGCTGTCTTCATGCTAGAGAATGAGAGTCATGAACCATCACTGTGAAGTCAACATCCCAACAACCCACCACTCATAGGGGATTCTGGGAGTTTCTGAAACCCAATCATGTCCACATTGCCACGCCCCAATCAGGCCCCAGAGTGTCACCTTTACAATCTGGGAGAGACATATTAGAGCTCTGGGAGCTGTCCTTGCCTAGGGTAAAACAAAACAAATGTATATGTATATGTATGTGTATGTATTCTTATCAAGGTATAAATGAAACCTACAGAAGATTTCTCTGGAGTAGCTATTATGGATTCCCAGAGCTCCCATCATCCCCAGCTTCACTCCAAACGCCCCAGAACAATCCTGTCCCCAACACTAACCTGGAGCTGGAGCATAGTCTCCTCCTCTTCCACCTGTGAGAAGAAAAGCTGTGAGAGTTCAAGGAAGATCTTGACACTAGAAGTTCCCAGAACTGACAGCAGACCCAGTTGGAGACAGTAGCAATGCAGGGTGTGGCTGTATTTCCCATTAATGAGCAGAGCACACTTCTAAAGAGGCTGAGAGAAAACTCAGACCCTGCCCTTTCCTACCTCTGTTTCTCCTTCTCATTATGACAAAAGCCACCACAGCTCCAACGATGGCCACAGCTCCAAGGACACCCAGAACAGCAATGATTTTCATGTTAAAGTTGGTGGATGGAGGAGGCTCTGGGAAGGACAGGGACAGGAAATGAAGGTGAGGGTCATGACCCCAGCTCTCAGCCCTGATCAGCTCAGCGTCTGCAGAAGGCTCCAGCTTTCCCTGACCCCAGCTTTGCACCCACACCCTCCTTACCCCATCTCAGGGTGAGGGGCTGAGGCAGCCCCTCATGGTACACATGGCATGTGTAATTATGCTCCTTCCCAAGAGGCACCACCACAGATGCCCACTTCTGGAAGGTTCCATCCCCTGAAGGCCTGGTCTGCACAAGCTCCATGTCCTGAGTCAGCTCCTCCCCATTCAACTGCCAGGTCAGGGTGATGTCAGCAGGGTAGAAGCCCATGGCCCAGCACCTCAGGGTGACATCACCTTCAGATCTGGGGTGATGGTTAACATGTGCCTTTGGGGGATCTGTGTGGAAGATTTAAGCAATCCCATAATTAACAAGACAAACTGAAATCTACACAAGACACAGTTAAATCAATGATGACACTGAACTATGTGTCTGACACTTCAACTGTCATCCCACCAGTGACCAGGAGGTGGCGCTGGTCCCCTCAGCACAGAACTGCACATTTCCCCTGGGGGCTCAGAAGCTAAGAGGGAATCCACGTGAGCCAGTGGGTCAACACTGCTGTCCTTATGTGATGTTCTACAGCATGAGACAGATAGTCAAAGAATGACAGATAGAATGAAAAATAAGTAATTTATCATGTGTTTGTGTTCATATCTATATTAGAAATTAGGGCCATATGTACTGGAAGGGTGCCACCACTGAGAGTCAACCACTGTGGTCATCTGCCTTACCAGTATAACTGTCAGTCCAAGTGAACAGCCATCACAAAGTGTGTAGCAGAAATATGGTGAACCTCTAACACTCAGCCAGAGAAAATGACTCCCAGCCCCTGTCTCTGGACCACAAGATACAGGTGTGTTACACAGGATCCCTGGAGTGTGCTGTTGACCCCAGTGCAGCACTCACTGGAACACAGTGGGCTCACAGGGTGTGTGGATCTTCCCTCTCACTCCAGCTCTGGATTGCAGAAGACCCTGTCTCTCAGAAAGTCCCATTTCTTTTCACTAGGGGGAGCACTGTAACTTGTGGGGCAGTGGAAGAGCAGGAGTATCCTGGATGTTTAGTTCTGACAGGAAACAGTCTAAGCTCACAAGAATCTCTCCTTTAATGAGAACCGTGATTTAACTTGTCTAATTATCGTGGTTAGCAGTCTCCCCTGGCACCTGTGGAGACTGATACAAACGATAATACAAGGGCATAGAGAAACAGGATCACTCCAGTGCAGACAAAAACTGACTAGAAGCAAAATAATTACTTCAAGAAACAGAAAGATAAGAAGAGAGAAAAAATTCCACAGTTTGTATCTCTGCAGGGTACCCCATAAGAGCTCATGTGACCTTCACCACTGTAGGAATAGATAGAAGTGGGGTGTTGAAGGGATGCAAACCCCACAGACAGGGAGGGATCTGCGAGAATGTATTCTTTGGAAAGTTCTAGAAGCTGGGGAACCAGCCTAGTGTAGGGAGCCCATGTCTCTCATCAGGTAAAGGAGACTTCCGGTCCTGAGGTGTAAGGGCTGACACACTCAGCATGACAGGAGTCAGTGTCCACAGACAGTGGGTGTGGGCAGAGAACAGGCCTGGGAGAGGCCATGGCTGACAGAGGCTACAATCTGACTGAAGGGAGCCACCATTGTTAAGCGGAGGGGGGAGGGGGACATTCTCTCCTTCCCTCCTGAAACAGACCAAGAACTGTCCAGGGAGAAGTCTGACCCTGGCAGAGTCAGTGCAGTCACTGTGATGAGGATCAGGAGACCCAGGGACACTCTCTCCCCTCTGAGACAGGGGCATCCCCCCAGCTGAGGGTTTCTTCTTCCCCAGGACTGAGCCCCAGCCCGAGGGCAGAGGGAGGAGCTGCCCGCAGCCCCTGCACCTGTGCGCAGCAGCGTCTCCTTCCCGAGCTCCAGGTGTCTGCGGAGCCACTCCACGCACTCGCCCTCCAGGTAGGCCCTGACTCTCTCTGCAGCACCACCCTGCTCCCACTTGCGTCGGGTGATCTGCGCTGCCATGTCCGCCGCCGTCCACGTTTCCAGGTCTTCGTTCAGGGCGATGTAATCGCGGCCATCGTAGGCGGACTGCCAGTACCCGCGGAGGAGGCTCCCGTCCGACCCCACGTCACAGCCGTACATCTGCTGGATGGTGTGAGAGCCTGCGGGACCCCGCGGTCAGCCCCGCCCACCCGCCCCGGCTCCGCCCACCCGCCCCGGCTCCGCCCACCCGCGGACTTCTCCAAAACGAAAGGGAAACCGGTCCCGGGTCGGTTCTGCTCCGGAACCTCGGACTTGGGACCCGGGGCGTCTCCGGCCCCTGTGTCGGGACGTGGAGGGGTCGTGACCTTCGACCCGGGGTCACTCACCGCCGTCGCTCTGGTTGTAGTAGCCGAGCAGGGTCCTCAGGTTCACTCGGTTAATCTGCTCATGTCCCTGGGCGTTCCGTGTGTTCAGCTCCCAATACTCCGGCCCCACCTGCTCCATCCACGGCGCGCGCGGCTCCATCCTCGGATTCTCCGCGTCGCTGTCGTATCGCACGAACTGCGTGTCGTCCACGTAGCCGACTTCCATGTGCCGGGGCTCCCCGAGGCCGGGCCGGGACACGCCGATCTCGAAATACCGCATCGAGTGTGAGCCTGGGGGCGGCGCGCGGTGAGACCCCGACCTCCTCCCGGGACCCCGGGCGGGTGCGCGGGCCGGGAGGGGAGCAGGGCGCGGGGCTCGGGACGCGGGTGGAGAAGGGGCGGAGGGTCCGGTGGGCGACGCGCGGACGAGGCTTCCCCGGTGCCGCCCCCGCCCCTCCCCGCAGAGCCCGTTTCCCTCCCGACCCCGCACTCACCCGCGCGGGTCTGGGTCGGGGCCAGGGCGGCCGCCAGCAGCAGGAGCAGCGTGCGCGGCGCCATCGCCCCCATCTCGGATCCGGGAAGTCTGAGTCCCGCGGGCTGCGAGGACTTTATAACCAGTGCCCGCGGCGACGCTGATTGGTTCCCTGGGATCGCGTCACCCAATGGGAGTGAGACCTGTCAGCGCGTCATCAGTGTCCGGGCAGAAGGACCTGACCCAGGTTAGGAGCAGAAGTGAAACTGGGGAGATGGGGAATCCCCAGCCCTGGGCTTCCCCACCCCTGACCTCACCGCCTGGAGACTAAGACTTTGTCTGAACCCTGTGCTGTGGACAGAGCGCTGTTTGTCATGGTGTCTCCGAGTTCTGACCCAGAAGCTGTCTGGACACCAGGAGAGACCTGCAGGTCAGACTCTCTGTGTCTTCTCCTCCACCCTTCCTCTTCCTTCTTCTCTTCATTAGTCAGACCCTGGACTCTTCTAGAAGAAAAGCCACTTCCTGGAATACAATAGCGACACAAATGGTTGAGAATGGAGTGGAGAGATGCTTCTCCTTCAACAGAGGGTCCTGCAAGCCCCACACGGACCCCACAGAGACAAGGCTCTGTGTTCACCTGCAGTGGGAGACTCACACTGCCAAGCCTGACAGTAAAAAGGAGACTTTGCCTCTTCCCTCAGGATCTGCCTTCTCAACCTCGGGCTGAGAGTCAGACTCCTCAAGTTTCTCCCTAGATGAAGCATCTGTAGCCCCAGAAGGGCATGTGTTTTATTTACATGGTAAATAGGGTAGTGGTGGCACACACCTTTAATCCCAGAAATTGGGAGGCAGAGGCAGGTGGATTTCTGAGTTTGAGCCTAGCCTGGTCTACAGAGTGAGTTCCAGGACAGCCAGGGCTCCACAGAGAAACCCTGTCTCGTTTAAAAAAAGAAGATCTTCATTCTCAGTCCTGAGATTGTTCATGTGGACCTGGGTCATTTTCTCTGCACTTAGACCCCCTTGCCCACTGGGAAGAGAGTTTGGTATCAAAGGGAACATAAATTTTATGAATCACCCCATTCTCCATGTTTTGTTCCAGTGTTCTCCAGTGTTTATCTAAACGTTGTTAACATTAGGAACGGTAGGGTGATGTATATCTGTAGTGTGGGATGTTCTGAGCACCCCCATTTTTAACTTACAGGACCAATAGGCCAATCTTCCACAGGTGTTAATGTCCTTAAGGCATGATGGTCTGACTGTCAAGGAAAGCAAGCAAAGGAATCAGCACTGGATGTGGCATTTGGTGTATAGGAATCACAATGGGTTTCTGACATCCTGCTAGTGAGCAGTCTCCAGTCCTGATTATCTGGTTCTTCCCATGATATGTTCCCATGAGACAAAACAAGGAAAGCATAGTGCTAGGAGGAGAGGGGATAACACAGCATGGTGTTAATGAGGGTAAAAACAGCCATGAGAATGACAGAGACAGAGCCTTGTGTGGTTTTGAGAGGTGGGGGTGAGAAGCAGCTGCATCGAGCTGTGTCAATGAGAACATGAGTGTCCTTCCAGGTGATCTGGTTGTGTGCCCTCGGTTGCCTGCATGGTCTCCTCTTTGTTTTCTCTGTGATCCCCAGGCATGACCTCTTTCTGACTGGAGGGGTCCCATCAGACATTGCAGGCTGGTCCCCAGACAGGGTGAGGTTGGTCCTCTGGAAAGATACAAACAAATCCCCTTCGTGTAGTTGATAGTTAACCTGACTTCCTCCAACACCTGTCAAATGGGTCCTTCTGTCTGACTGAGATGGGTGGTAAAGGTGGTGGTTCACTCCAGTGACAGACAATGGGAGGTTTGCCTTGTTTGGCATAGATGTTGAACACATTCAGTGTCAATAATGCCAGGTTTAATTTGGTATTTGTTGGCAGGAAGCCTTGTGTTTAATTAGTTATTTTTTTAAATATTTGATTTGTTCTTTCAATGACAGCTTAGCTCTGAGGGTTGTGAGGATGACCAGTATGGTGGACAATCTTCCAAGACTTGCAGAAATTGTAGAATTGATGTCTGTTGAATGAATGCAGGTCCGGTATCAGCTTTGATATGGAGAGGGACCCCCATAATAGATAATTGGAGAACATGCGATTAATAAGGTTTTTAAATGGGAATAGGTATCAATAGTTAGGAATACAAATTTTTGTGTACGGAGTGATGGGATGTGGGTGACATCATACTTGCAAGAGAGCATTAGCCTGAGAGCCTCTGGGGTTGGTGCCCAATTGTTGTATAGCAGGGGTGTGAATTAAGGAGGCACAGGAGGAGCAAGTTCTGAAGATGTGTTTGAGGTATTTTATGGGGGCATTGGGGAATTTGAGCTGTAGCCCTTCCAGATTAATATAGTTATCTGATGGGAGTTCTTTAGCAGTGAGGGATGACAGAGTAAAGGCCCCAGTTGTGACATTCTTACCAGCTAATGTGTTGCCATCGGAGAGGGATCTGGAAGGGATGAGTGTGACCACACATGGCTGACTAAAAACAGGATATGTTCTAGCTTAAAGTATTTTTGAAATCTTCATTAATAGTTGGGAAAAAGGGTCACCACCGAGTCTGACATAGGAGCAGGCTAGCCAGGGGAGTAAGCTGACCGTATAAGTGCTGTCTGAACATAGACTAGCTGGTTCTTTTAGGTATGTTAAAACCAGGAAGATTGAATACAGTTCTGTAAATCGGGGAGAATTATCTGTGAGGGGAGAAATGTGACTCAGAGCTGCTGTCTCTTTGATATACTGTGCAGCCATCACTCTGTGGCTCTCCATCTGTAAAAGCTGTGGGCCTTGGGATAGCAGACCAAGAGAACAGTGGAGGAGGAAGCCACCTAAAGACTGGTGGGGCTGCAGGAATTTATCTTTGGGGAAATGGTTGTCTGTCTGTCATCAGAAGCCAATGAGGCTACTAGCAAAAGAGGTGTGGTTTCTCAGGAGCCATTGGATGTCTGAGATGGGGAAGGGAAAACAGTTCCATCAGGTTCTTTTTTTGTTGTTTTATTTCATTTTGTTTTGTTTTGTTTTGTTTTGTTTTGTTTTGTTTTGTTTTGTTTTGTTTTTCGAGACAGGGTTTCTCTGTATAGCCCTGGCTGTCCTGGAACTCACTCTGTAGACCAGGCTGGCCTCGAACTCAGAAATCTGCCTGCCTCTGCCTCCCAAGTGCTGGGATTAAAGGCGTGCACCACCACTGCCCGGCTTCCATCAGATTCTTTACCTATAATTTTTAAGGTATGCTTTCTTCCTGTCCTTATAGTGGATAAAGTGTTAACCTGGGTTAATAGTTGAGGCGCTACCCCTGTTGGAACATGGAGCCATTCTAGGATCCCCTGAGGTTGATGTAAGGCTCCAACCAATGTGTGGGAAGAACTGAATGGAAAGACCTGGATTGTGTGTTGTGGATCATAACATGCCAGGTATTTCTAATGTGGTGTTTAATAGAACAAAGTGTCCCTCCTGCTACTGGCATCAGGGAGAGAGGAGAGAAGGGGTCCTTGTAACCCTTAAGTAAATCAAATAGAGGCTGTGATTGCCTGGTTGGTATGGTGAGCCAAGACCTAAACCAATTAATACTGCCTAAGAAGCTTTGAAGAGTATTTAGGGTTAATGCACTGGGGAAGTCACTGACAGGTGTAGCTGGCCAGACTGAGGGTATGCTGATTTCTCTCCCTAGGAATGTGATGGGTTGAATAAGTTGAATCTTTCATTTTTAAAGGTTTATTCTCTTTTATCTATGTGAGTACACAGTAGCTCTCTTCAGAGACACCAGAATAGAGTATTGGATTCCATGACATATGGTTTTTAGCCACCATGTAGTTACAGGTAATCGAACTCAGAACCTCTGGGAGAGTAGTCAGTGCTCTTAACTGCCGAGCCATCTCTCCAGCCAGAACAAGTTGAATCTTAACTTTGGATAATAAAAAGCCTCTTTCTGTTAGGGCTTTTAAGGCTTGTTGTTTAAGGTTCTCTGAGGTTAGGTTTTGATTTTGCCTTTTAGCTTGTCATATTAACAGGTCATCCAAGTAATGAAATATACAGAGGCCTGAGTTAAAAAGGGGTTTTAATGCACCAGCTACAGCTTCTTAACAAATGGTGGAGCTATTAGCCCTGCTTGAGGGAGTTCCCTCCACTCAACCCTATCAGCTGGTCCTGAGGTATTGACTTTAGGTACTGAGAAGGCAGTTAGGAGTTAACTGGTCCCAGACCTGGAGTGTACATAAACAGACCTGCTTAAAGCAGCCAGCATGGAGTAAGGCTTACTAAATTCCTGTGGAGAAATTATACTGGCTGAACAATTGGTGTGAGGCAGTGGTCTCATTTCCTCACAGGGAGAAGTGGGATACACATGACGACTTAAATATATTTTGTCCATTTTTCCTTTCCCAGACCTGTTCCCAATGTTTGTGAGATTACAGAGGTGCTCTGACTCGGGGTTTGGGGAGGTGCTGTAGATGTAAGCATTTCTGCTCAGATGGAAGGGGATCTTGGGACTTGGAAGTCCAAGAACCACACAGCTCTGAGGTGGGACAGTGTCCCAGTGGAAGGGCATCCTGAGACACAGGGGCCCAGGAACCACACAGCTCTGAGAGGAAGCCTCCTCAGCAGAGGTGTTGCAGCTCCCAGGGGAGGGTTTCTCCAGCTGAACTGAGGATCTCAGTTCCCTTCTCTTCATTGCTGCTTTTGTTCTTGGCTTCTTCTGATTAGAGAGAGAGAAAGTCACACCAGGCAGCAAATTTCATGAAAGAGATTTATTGGAGGATTTAGGGTGTGGAGGGATGAAACCAGAGATCATGGCCTTTGCTCCCAGGAGTGGGCAGCAGGGAACTGGACAAAGGGCGGGGCTTATGTAGGATTTCTGAGGGGGTGGAGCTTCTTAGGGCAGAGATTTCCAGACTGAGGATTGATGGGATTTCAGGTCCTCAGTTTGGGGTAGCTCAGGGATTTCTGGGTTTTCCTGTTCAGGGATTAGTGGCTTTTTTTCACTCCCTTTTCCCTGGCATCGGGCTCATGGGTTAGAGTGAGAAGTCCTTCCCAGATGCAGCTGACTTTCGCTGAGGCACCATCTCTTGAACTTCAAAGTCATGTCTTAAGTTTCAAAGGCAAGCAAACAGGCCCATAGGCTTTAGAAGGGCCCTGTGATAAATTTGCTTTCCCAGACCTGCTCCCGGAATGACGATGCTGGGACTAGTTATTCATTAATAAATGCCTAGGCCATAAGCTTTGGCTCATGCCCTGACTAGATTTGTCTTAGTCAGGGTTTCTATTCCTGCACAAAACAAGTTGGTGAGGAAAGGGTTTATTCAGTTCCAAGTTGCTATTCATCACCAAAGGAAGTCAGGACTGGAATTCAAGCAGTTCAGGAAGCAGGAGCTGATGCAGGGGCCATGGAGGGATGCTGCTTACTGGTTTGCTTCCCCTGGCTTGCTCAGCTTGCTTTCCTATAGAACCCAGGACTACCAGCCCAGGGATGGCACCACCCACAATGGGCCCTCCCTTCCTTGACCACTTATTGAGAAAATGCCTTACAGCTGGATCTCATGGAGGCATTTCCTCAAGGGAGGCTCCTTTCTCTGTAATAACTCCAGCTTGTGTCAAGTTGACACAAAACCAGCCAGTACAGCTTGAGAAAGAGGGTGGAGCATATTTATGAATGGATGCAGAGGGTCTGCCACATGCTGGCTGGCATCTTCATTCATTCATCACAGTCTGTCCAGTTGCACAGTCTGTAGGCAACAAGCCGGGTTACACTAAGCACCAGGAAAGCCAGGCTTAAGTTTAAAGTAATACAGCTACTGTTCCTGGGGTGTTCTCGTAAGTGGAGTGGGATTTCTGTGTGCATCTACAGATGCAGGGTGAGTCTTGATGGCACTGGTGTGGTGCAATAAGGTTCCCTGAGCATCCTGCACCTCCTTTAGAGTGTTTCCACATCAGAGTAACCGTCATCAAAGGTAGGGCTGATTGGAACAGCTCCCTTGTAACCAATCAGCCTGTCCTGCAGTTTTCCCTGCTTACAACTTGCTAAATTCAAATGTGCACCCATGTTGTG